AACTTTGAGATTACAACTGACAACTTCAACAAAATGAGAATTTGTACCACAAGACATTACGCACCGCTAGGCTAGATGGGTTCAGTTCACATACATGGGCTGAACGGGTAGCCCGGATATAGAGAACAGGAAATACACCTGTAGATAGAGCCTTGTGGAAAATAACTACTAGGTAGACCACTAAGGTAGAGGCCTTGCGACGAGCTGATCACTCGCCCAAGGAGTCCTACCGTATGTGTAAGATCTAGAAAAACCGAAGTGAACGGAGTTCATGGAGGTAGGCCTAGGCCCACTGGGGCTGTAGTGCCAAAGGAAAAGAAAAAAGACCACTAAGGAGATGTAAGGTTTGTGTTCAGTAGTGTGCTGTGATATTAGTGTTTTCTGCTACTAGAGCTAATTATAAAGGAAAGCAAATATACCTACAGTGGGCCGAAGGTTGTCTAATGGGTTTGCTTACAATACCGTACAGTAGGTATAACTGGTATAGACTCTATACATAACGTAGTCTACACCTCTTGTAATGGCTTGGCTATGTTGTGTCTAAGTTTTCGTACGGTGAAGAGAAGTTCTCGCCTCCTGACAAATCTGATCCTCAGATTAATCAAACCCAGTTGTCTTAGCCTGTGGATTGCGAAGGGGCGCCTAGCTAAATCCCGGGAACTTCGCGCCATCCATCAATTTTCCATTCTCCCACCCCCCATCCCAGGACAAGAGAACCCTTTGTAAAGCACAGTTTTCTTACTGAAACTTCGCATTGGGGAGGCATTCGCTTTAGAATTTAACACCTTCCACGCCATGCAAGAGTTACCTCATTGAGGTTTAAAGTCAATGTCCCTTCAAGTCTGGATTTATTTGGTGTGTGAAAATATCATTTTTTTATTGTGGAAAAAATAATTGTAAATACAAAAAGGCCTAGGCAACGCCTATCCGGCCTCCTGTAGCACGTTCTTGTAAACATCTTATTCTATCATAGCGGTCACCACGCGATTTTTAATATAGATCGTAAATCTGGGAGTATATTGTTAATGATCAGTACAATTACTTCTTTTACTTTTCTTACATATTTTATATAAATATAGGAATGTTGTTTATGAAGTAACAGACGCCTTGCATAAATCTTTTTCTTCTAGCTCTAAGTGCTCTGTAACTGACTTTGAACGGAACGTATGTGCTGCCATCTCTGGACAGTTAGTTAGTTACTTAGTTATTGGAGAGGGTGGGTTTCCCCATGCACTTAGCCCAGTATTGGTCCATTGTGCTTCCCTCTATCATATTCTACCCGTCTCTATATCCTACCGATATTGGTGCGTACCATCAGTCCCGACCGAGCCAGCGAGTTCGGTCTCCACTAGCTTGGCGGTATCTATAATGCTTCCCCCATCTATCAGAGGTGTTAGAGACTACTTGTTGGGCGGGAAACATCCTTGACTTTGGCTCCGTGACCTTCTTTGGAGATATGAGGTTCTTTTACGTGCCGTAAAGCTACGACACGGGACACACGGCTTAGTGTCCCTCCCGGAGGACTTGTTCCCTGAATTTTTCCGCCCTTAAAAATTCGACGACCTCCGCCGGGTTTGAACCCGCGTACCATGAGTCATTAGGTGGGAACGTTACCTCTAGACTACGGAGGCCGCTTATCTCTGGACAGTTAGAACCAACTATTCGTGGCTTTTCAGCCGAAATATAGTAAGAAATGGAGGTTTCTCTATGCAGCAATCAGTATCGAAAGTGCTGAGCATTCAGTATTAAGTGCAGAATGCTTTGTCCTAACGGACATGGAGAAGTATGCACAGAGTTACATAATAGTGAGGCACATCATCCAATCTCTTTTACAGATTTATTAAATCCAGAATAATATAAGAAGTTTAGGCATGTAGCACGCATGGGCAAACGGGAAATTCTTAAAATTTTAGATTGTGACACCTAGACATACGCTGAACAGTACTGTTATTGTTAATATAAGGGCAGTATATATGCGAAATGGATTGAATTGGTTCGGGCTAAATAGAAGGGAGGAATTTTGTGGCAATGGTGAAAAAACCTTCCGAGTTCTATAGTAGCGAAATTATTTATCAACTGAATAACCACAAAGTCCTCCAAAGTAGTCATTAAACTGGTCAGCCAATCAGTCAGTTGAGTCGGAAATGAAAAGCGGCTTTACAGAAGCACTCACCTTCCCTTTGTATGAATGCCTCTATCAATATTACCTCCTAACAAAAAGAGCTTTGGTCAAATTCGTTGATATTAATAAAAATCCGTGGGACAGCGGTGCTGTTACAAATTATTCCAATTACACGTTTTCGCGTTCTTAGAGTTCTTTGTATTCTTTCTTCATTTCTCATTCGATTATCCTTATATTATGTGTCTTCTATTTACCTCTCTGTCTCTATCCCTCTCTATATATTCTATTCAACTGCTATTGCAGTCTCGATCTTTCGCGAACATAGCGCGCATGTGCAGATAAATTGTAATTTAATGTATAAGAATTTATCAATGGCAGGAAAATTTTAAATGTCATAGCTAGAAATGTGAGTTGTTTATTTTGAAAGCTTTGCTCATCTGTTCAGTTTGCGCTTATGCAGAGTAATGCAGGCCTGTATATTAACAAAAAAGATGAATAAAAATTACATAGAAAAATTAAATTTACGGCGGTAATTTTGAAATAATAGCTATTAGTGGAATTCATATATTATTGATAGTGCTTATTCTGGAACTGGGAGCCAGTCACTCAAACACCAAGCACTGTAGTTGATTATGTTACGATTAAAATAAATGTATTCTCGTTGTTTAGCGTTGAACCAGAAAATGATTATTCTCATGCTCGGTTTCGAGGGGAATAAAACGCGAGGTCAGATATTTTGGACAAAGTTAGTTATTATTGGCAAAATTTGCCAACATGTTTACTCCAGACGGTCTCTCTCCTGTCGCTCACAGTTTGGAGCATAAGGCATTCGTGAAACGGTGTGTTTCACTTCAGCTTCTTAATCCCAGGACAGTTGGTAGGACTACTCGGACGGGGGATCAGCCCGTAGCAAGGCCGCTACCTACACAAATACAGAATAAAATCAGACAAACATCCATGCCTTGAGTGGGATTCGAACCCATGATTCCAGAGTTAGGGTGGGCGAACACTGTTCATGTCTTAGACCGCGAGGCCACTGTGGTCGACGCTCCCGACAGGAGCACTGATTAGTGAATGGTATTATTCTGTGAAGTTTAGAGTAAAACGTAAAGTTGTCCCTGTGCTTAACTGATTAAACACTACGCCATGATGGCGTGGAGTGGATGTATAGACCCAAATTTTCTTGACCTCGGCACTAGTTGGAAATGAGTGGTCAGCTCCACGTCCCGGCCGCTTTACCCCGGTTACCCATTGAATTGGAGGCTGGTTGGGCCCCAGATGTGTATGGACAAAGTAGAGAAGAGAAAATTGTAGACCCCACGGGTACTAGAAATCCGACTATTTTGTCGTTGAGCACGTAGCCAGTCGCTGTACTGACTACGCTATCTCGTCTCATAAGAGTTTTAGTAAAATAACTGCTGTATTTACAGAAATTTTAATATTATTAATGTTCGTGTTTTTAACGAAGTGCGCTTTTAACAAATAACCGTTAACTTCTCACCGGACTTGATGATGGCGTAGAAATAAAACAATTTTTGATGCAAGAAGCCACTCACCAAAATTTTGACTTCGCATATTTCTCAACTCAGACACGAGGGTGTAGCGGAATAGACAGTGGCTGGATATAACAATGACCGGACTATAGACAGCCCATTACTTCAGTTTTACTTCTCATGGATAAATCGAATTACTACGCGTGCCATGCACAGATTACTCGAAGTGACAGGCAAATAGATGGGATAGCGCTTGTGAACATTCCCTTCGAACAATCTTTTATCGAATTCGTCGAAATTCGTGAATTTCTATAGGACAGTAATGCTACTGAACATTTTCTTAGTTGCCCAGTTCCCAGTCTCCAGCCGTCTCTTGTTCCGTTCAGTTTATAACATTTGATAGGTCGCTCAGCTCTTATTTAGATCTAGGTTTGTACTCAGGAGCTAGCCGATTAAACTCTGGCCTTGTTTACTGATTATCCTGATAGATTTTTCTTAATTTAACTCAGCCCTTATAAGCAAATTCCAGCACAGAACTTTAAATTAGGCCACTACCTCCTCCTTACAAATTCCTATATGTTCACCCTTTGTGATAGTGTGGCATATAGGCCCGTTGTTAGGCAACGACCGCGAAACAAACAACGAGACAATGGCCGTTGATAGGCAGCGGCCCGCGCGCAACAATGGAAGTACTGTTGGACGCAGTGTTTCCTATGTGGTCTGCTCCGAGGCTCTATGACTCGACCGACAGAGTTCAGTTCAGTTAGTGAGTGCAGTGCAGTGCCGTCAGTCATTTGAGCGAGAGAGTGAGGGGAACGTCCGCAGTTTGAAGCAGCTACCAAGCAACGGTTAGTGAAGAATGTAGCGTGCTGTAGTGAACTGCAGAGTGTGTGAATTAGCGATAGCGCTATACTTACTTGTAGTTACGTTCTGTAAGTGGTCAATAAAGCCAATTACCAATTCAAACCCTGTATATAGTCACCCATACACGTGACAACACCGTCTCGTTGGATGCTGAATGATCTATGCAACTGAAAGAGCATTGGTAAATAACGCAAGAATCAACCTCTGTGACTCAAATTGTTTATATGCCAGAGTGCATGAGGTGTAGGCTGTGAACTAAGGAGCCTCGGGTTCATTCCCGGTGGCTTTATGGGAGCTCTGTGGTGGGAAAGTGACACTGGACCAGGTTTATATTTCCGGTGTCTCTTCGGTTCTCCCATAATGCTCACAATTCCACCATTGCTCCATACTCATCTATCAGAGGTCCCTGTGTCGTGTGATAGCCCTGAGCAGGCAGTACATTATCATATTCTCGGTCTGTAAGTCTGGGGCTATGACCAGACACTTGGCTGCTTGCATAACATGCGGCTGAAGGTACTCACCGCCGCCATTCTGATAGGCGAGGTAGGGGAACCTCCAGACATTTCCGATGCCGACAGACAACCCGACACAGGACAGCAGGAACTCCCAGCGGGAACCCCAGTTTCCGCGTTCCGCCACCGAGGCCAGAGACGGCCGCCGGATGGCAGCGTCTATCCCGCGGTCCAGCACTGACTCGCGGCGTGCCACAATGTGCGCCGAGAAGCGTCGCGGCGGACGATCGCTCGAGCGGTGCCGTTCCCGCTCCCGCAGGGAACCTCCCCTGGGAGGGGATATGGCATTCCCTGTAAGGAAAGTTAAATGTCTGTTAAGAATGGTCCCTCTTTGGGATAACAGATCCTAACATTGCCACTCCAAACCGAACGCTTGTCATGTGGTTCTACATGTTTGGTATCTCGAACTCGCGACTGGCGACTTCTCAAAAAGGATTCAGCTCAATGGGCTTAGTAAGTTGTCTCGATCTGAGGGAAACACATAGACTGAGAACACATGAAAGTAATATTTGGCCTTGAGAATGGGACGAAAAATTGCGCAATTAAATTATATCCTTTGAGTAAAATTTTTAGATCGAATAAATTAAGGAGGCTGAACTTGGCAGAATATGTGACACACAAACAGGAAATATGATATACATACAAAATTTCATCCAGAAAATATAATATACCAGGGAGAGCTAGGCGTAAAAAGCAAAATATTAAAAATGTAAGGGTACTAATATAACACAATGTGTTCTACATAATATAATATAATGTAATATACAATAACATAAACTGGTCTTAGGGAAATGGAGTATGGGGCTAAGAGCCGGATTGAACTAATTTAGGATAGGTTTGAATAGTTGGCCTTCATGAACATTGAAACCGTAGAATTTGAAATTCTCACACACGTGAAAATTCACATTGTGTTCTTTGGACAATCTCCCATTTCCTTTGATTAAAATCTAAGCATTTGATAAGACAAATTAGAAAGAAATATTTACTATTGTTGCGATTTTGGGGCGTGACTATAGAAGGGGTATGGATTGGATATTGGCTTTATTGACACAATTATACACACCACTCGGAACTACAAGTAATTACAGCTCTACCGCTTACCTACATTTTACAAATCACTAGCACACGCTCAGGCTTAACTAGTCGTATCCTGGCAACGGATTTTAACACAATAATTATAAGAGTCTCACTGTAATTCAGCACATATATAGTCTTCTTTTCATAGCCGCACTCTTGCAGCTAACTCTTTTCTTCACAGCCGGACTTTCAACTCTCAACTGTAGCGCCCTCTCTCCTCTGCCTCCCTTGCAGATCTCAACTGAACTGCCAAATCTTAAATAACTGGATCGTCAAGTCAATCAAAGTCACATTGCAACTGACGGTCTGTCAGTAAGTCTTGGTGTCGAGCCCTATCTGGGGTTCATGACTAGATATTTATTACTGTTTGACAGTTACGGTCTTGTTTTCATGGGGTGCCCTCTCTGACGAGAGGACGGGCCTGTCTTTTGTATATGCTGCTGACCCTGGCGAGAACAGTCTTTCTCGGGTCCGAGTCCCTTGGGACTCGCGACCATATTTTACTGTCTCGCGTTTGAGACTTCCCTTTTCGTCGCCTCCTACCACTCGCTGGGTCACGGTGGAGGTATTCGACCCCGTCTCCACACGGGCCTCAAATAACGTGATCATCCCAATTTCCTTCGTTATAACCAATTTGCACGGACGGAATAGAAAACCCCCACGTGTTTATCGATCAGTTGCTTAGAAACAGGTTACATAACATCGTTGTTCTATTGTTGCTTGCGTGAATGTCGCAAGCGTTACCTAGCAACGACCGATGTTTACAGCGTCATCGCTTAGCAACAGGTTCATGCGCCACAGTACGTATGAGTAACAAAGTCGTAAAACAACAAAATTGAGAGGCTGTAGTGTTGGTATTACTGAGCAAGTGGTTTATGAAGTGCGCCTTTGATACGGGCTCAGAGGGCGAGATGTATGTACTAAGTTTTATGACGATCGGTTCAGGAATTCACATTATACTGTATTAAAGTTATTACAACAACATTTTAGAGGCTGCAGTGTTGTTATTAATGACGAGATGGATTTATGAAGCACGCCGTTAAGATGGCTTCATGTGGCATGGTACACATACCGACTTTAGTAAAGATTGATTGAGGCATTAGAAAATTGTTATGGGGGAAACACATGCAGATAGACAGCAAGGTGATATCATGAGCCTACTTCTAACAACATTGGCAATCTGGCCAGACTATCTTACTCAAGTGATCCACCATTCAATTGCATTGCATAACACTTTCTCTCTGCATAAGCCTGTCGCGCAAATTGTAATGTTATGTGAGTAGAACCAGCCTACGGTTATGTTAGTTGTGTTCCCTGTTTTACTGTCTTATTAATTAAAACTCTTGTATATAAAAACGGTTTATAGCAGTTCTCTTGGAAGTGTAGTTTCATTTTGTTTCATTTTGCATTTCGCCATGAGATTAAAATTCAATCCCCAACGCTTTTCTGGAACGTGTTACACAGGAGCATTTATACGCCCGGGCTGGGCTACACGTCATACAGAAGAGGCAGAGAAGTTATCGCGTCAATAAGGCGCAATGTTGGAAGTTGGAAATCATTGTAAGATTTGAGGCTTTCACGTCGGTGACTAAGAAGAAAGCAGTCTTCTGGGACTTGGCACCGTGTATATGTGGTGTTAACTGATGTTTCGGAGGAACGTATCGCCTCCATCTTCAGGGTAGAAGAAAAAATATAAGAAATATGCAAGCGGAGAGACCGTGAGGACCGGTAAAAGGTCTGCTTTTACCGGTTCTCACGGTCTCTTCGCTTGCAGATTTCTTATATTTTTTCTTCTACCCTGAAAATGGAGGCTATATGTTCCTCCGAAACGTCGGTTAACACTACATATACACGGTGCCAAATCCCTGAAGACTGCTTTCTTCATGGAAATCACTGTCAGGGCACAGGACTTTATAGATCTCAAGTCCGCTGTAATCTAACTTTTTTTTTAATTCGTTAGTAGGGGTGGAATCCAGCTGGGTCCACTCGGCACGGCGGCTACTGATTGGCCTATTGTAGCCTGCCCCGGGTGATTATGATGATGTAGAATTTGGTGGAATGAAGATTTGCAGGAGAAACTGAAGTACTCAGAGTAAACCCTCCCAGCGTCACTTTGCCCACCACAAATCCCACTTCACTAGACGCGAGAACGAAGCCGGGCCGTCGCGATGGGAAGCCAGCGACTAACCGCTTGAGCTATGGCGCGGCCATCTAACGCCTTGAAGCGTGCAGTTCGTCCACGTAATGTTTAAAACCTCAACTTCTATCTCACACACAACATATTTAGTCTCCGTTACAAAAACTAACCGGTAATACCATTCAGGAAAATAACCGCCGTTTATTCTTGGAATAACATGGAACACAAAACAATTCTGTGGCTAAAATGCAGAGATTTTTTAACGTTCAAACAAGATATATATAACAATCACAGAGAGTAGGTCGACCAAGTTTCAAATGCAAATTCTGTTATTAAATAGAAAGCTATTAACAGATTTTCGTGAAAGTCCGTTTGATCATTATGCAAGAAAGTACTTCCCCTGTTGGAAAAGTACAGCTGTGTCATGCGAACTCGTGAGGTGGGAGGTAACCATGAACAGTTTCACTGAAGTGAGGCCTATTTAGGTTTGGTTCTCACATCAAACAACCACTGTTTCCCCAAAACCTTAAAGTTACACTGTGTTTTTCTGGAGACTAAGAACCGAACATTCTGATTACCACATCATTTAATGGTAAGTATATATACCACTTCTTTCAGCGTTCAGTGTCTTAAAATTTCGATCGATTCCCACAACAAACAGCAATTTTCTTCCTAAATATCACGGCCTGATCTTTTTTTATATTCGCATAGTGGAGGGTGGAGTCCAGCTGGGTCCACTCGGCACGTCCGCCACTGATTGGCCTATTGTAGCCTGCCCCGGGTGATTATGATGATGGAGAATTTGGTGGAATGAAGATAGGCAGGGAAAACCGAAGTGCTATGAGAAAACCTGCCCTAGCGCCATTTCGTCCACCATAAATCCCACTCGAACAGACCCCCGGACTCGAACCCGGGCCGCCGCGGTGGGAAGCCAGCGACTAACCGCTTGAGCTATGGCGCGGCCTTCTGCCTGATCTTAGTAATGGCGCTGTGCATTTCCTTAGAAATAAGAACCGAAATTTAACTATGATTAAATTAATTTCGCACTGTAACCTTTAATGGGCCAATGATTGTCTAAATACTATTTTCAGAGCTAGAGGGAAGCACGTGTAGTCTCCATTACGAAGAACGGCCATTAGGGAAACAACAACTTTTTTTTTCTTCTGAGAACCAAAGTGTGGTCACAAATATTCTCTGTGCGAGAAATTCCGCGTGTTTAACGTTAAATCCAATGGTGTGCATAGCTTTCGGTCTCCTATAGAGAGCTAAAGGATAATCGAGAATATTTCCTGTGTGTCATTTCGTGACAAATAAGCTGTTGTGTAACCAAGGTGTTCATGTCGAGTATGTCCATTGTCACCACAGTATGGCGAGTCCTCAGGTTTCGGATGGAGGAGACGGCCTCCGGATATGAAGGGTAGCTGCAAACATATTGAACAAGCAGTCGCGGACAGCAGACAAGGAGTGGTTCTCCAGTTGGGGGGTTGGGCGTGGGGCTAACAACTGCTCCCCGTAAGGGATAAACCTGTTATGGAATCATACAAAAGAACTCGGACCTGGACGAAACACCAGGATTATGGTTAATATTAAAATGGATCTTAGAGAAACAGGATAGGGTGGTATGGACTGGATTTATCTGGCTCAGGACAGGGACAAATGGAAAGCTCTTGTGAACACGGTAATAAACCTTCAGGTTCCATAAAATGCTCGGAAATTTTTAAGTAGCTGCACACGTGGCGGCTTTTCAAGAAGAGCTCAGCCCCCATGAAGTTATTTGGTTCGATAGTTATAACCAAGTTGTTTGTACGAGTCCCTTAGCAGTTTCAGAGCGATAAATTCCATCTCTGAACTTGGATCAGAGCGACACAGCAGAATTTGAATCACCTTCACAAACGTTAACCTACGCGATAAATACACACAGTAAACGGCAAAGCTATTCTGTAACAGGCCGTGGAGGCCTGTAAGGCTGTGACACGTCAAGGCTCCAAAATTTCTAGACAGTTGGCCTCTACGGCCTGTTACAGGAACAGATTGATATATCCTAACACAGAGTGGGAGACAGGATTACTGGGGTTTT